TGGTGGCTCAGTCCGTAGGGACTCGGCCTGGGAATCGGAAGGTAGACTCCTGGTGCTAGACTCCTGGTGCTAGACTCCTGGTGCTAGACTCCTGGTGCTAGACTCCTGGTGCTAGACTCCTGGCACTAGACTCCTGGTGCTAGACTCCTGGTGCTAGACTCCTGGTGCTAGACTCCTGGCACTAGACTCCTGGTGCTAGACTCCTGGTGCTAGACTCCTGGTGCTAGACTCCTGGCACTAGACTCCTGGTGCTAGACTCCTGGTGCTAGACTCCTGGTGCTAGACTCCTGGTGCTAGACTCCTGGTGCTAGACTCCTGGTGCTAGACTCCTGGCGCTAGACTCCTGGTGCTAGACTCCTGGCTCTAGACTCCTGGCTCTAGACTCCTGGCACTAGACTCCTGGTGCTAGACTCCTGGTGCTAGACTCCTGGTGCTAGACTCCTGGCACTAGACTCCTGGCGCTAGACTCCTGGTGCTAGACTCCTGGTGCTAGACTCCTGGTGCTAGCCTCCTGGTGCTAGACTCCTGGTGCTAGACTCCTGGTGCTAGACTCCTGGCACTAGACTCCTGGTGCTAGACTCCTGGCACTAGACTCCTGGTGCTAGACTCCTGGTGCTAGACTCCTGGCTCTAGACTCCTGGCACTAGACTCCTGGTGCTAGACTCCTGGCTCTAGACTCCTGGCTCTAGACTCCTGGCACTAGACTCCTGGTGCTAGACTCCTGGTGCTAGACTCCTGGTGCTAGACTCCTGGTGCTAGACTCCTGGCTCTAGACTCCTGGCTCTAGACTCCTGGCACTAGACTCCTGGTGCTAGACTCCTGGCGCTAGACTCCTGGTGCTAGACTCCTGGTGCTAGACTCCTGGTGCTAGACTCCTGGTGCTAGACTCCTGGTGCTAGACTCCTGGCTCTAGACTCCTGGCTCTAGACTCCTGGTACTAGACTCCTGGCTCTAGGATGGGTTAAAAGCAGAGGCCACATGTCACTGTGTGTGCTGTGTGCTCTGCATGTGTGACCATTAAAGAGGGGTTCATCCCTCCCATTCGACTTCCTTGATAAACCAATCTGACAACATGAGCATTTCTGTTCCAGTTTGTTCTTAATGGCAACATGACTGCAACACATGCTCTTTGTACCAAAAGGACAAATGTAGATCTGGAATACACACCTACATATAACAACAAAACTGAGTTCGACTTCCTAGCTGACAAAACTCCAACAAAGTAAACACAAAATGCGGTCATTAACCTCCTGTTGTGTTCGGGTCAAATCTGACCGATTTACTACTTTCATCAATCATAGCTTTTTTGTTTTACCTTCGATTGCATTAAGGCTTTATGATATCCTTCGCAGTAGACATGTGAACATATCAAATGGCTGATCACCACTTTCATTGAGTTTTGGATGATTTAGTCAACTTTGTAACACCAATGACCGCCATAAAGAAATGGAATGAGTAACCATCCGAATCAGATAAAACACACACACACATACACTAGATGTGTGTTCCCCCCTTATGTGCCCATCCCCCCATGTGAATCACACAGACTGTATCACACCTGGCACACACAAACACACACACACACACACACAAACACACACACACACACACACACAAACACACACACAGAATTTGATACATTTCCCGCTCTTATGTGCCCATCCCCCCACATGAATCACACCTGGCACGCAATACTTGTTCAGTGTCTATTCTTTGTATAGTTACTGCAGTTGTTCATGTATACCAGTAGTCTGATACAATATGTACAGTTTGAAAGGGTGTTCAATGAAATGTGGTGATGATTAAGGGTTTTTGTGTTAATGTAATAGCAGTTAAAACAGGACCGGTCAAATTTGACCGTGAACACCAAAGTAAGGGGGGGGAAACGAACACAACAGGAGGGTTAAGAAGACGCTGTAAGCAGTGATACCATGATAATAGATGAGTTGGCTACTTGTAGTCATGAAGAGGCCGACACAATTTTTGCATGACAAGCAAGCAGCAATAGATGACAGAAAATCATAATTGTCAAAGCCAACGACACAGATATTCTTGTGATGGCAGTTCTTCCAGTCCTTCAGGACATTGATCTGAAGCATATGTGGATTGCCTTTGGACATAGACTAAACCTGAAGTGGATCACTGTGCATCTGAAGTAGATCTTTGCATGACTTTTGGGATGGAGAACAGCAAAGTGATTATCTTCTTTCATGCCTTTACTAGCTATGATGTTGTTTAAAGGGATTCCGCAGTAAAAGTAAGAAGACATCTTGCATAGATTTATGTTGAGTAACCTAAAAATAATCTAATTAGTAGTATTACTATTATTTTCAACAGTGGGTGTTTCAGTAAAGTACAGCATTAAATGTGTTTAATAGTAACTACTGTAGTAATGTGTATTGCATTAATTATTTTGAGTAACTACCCCAACACTGATGATGACCACCTGAAGATCTTTGAGAAGTGTTGTGGTCATGAAGGCTTTTCCTCCTACTCAAGCAGCTCTACCGCAGCATATTACATTACATGTCACTTATTAGAAGCTTTTATCCAAAGCGACTTACAGATATTAGAATCAGAATACCTTTATTATTACCTATATATACAGAGGGGAAAATATCCTACAAGGCAAGCTGTATAGTCGGTCAACAGTAAGTCAACCAGAAATACAGAATCCTGCAGAGTGGTGATGGACCAAATAAGATGATCAGTGGCAGATATTCTGTACCAAACTTCCACCTATCGTGGAGAGCTGTCAGCAGCTAAACAAGTGTTGAATAAATGACCCCAAAGGGATGAACATGGACATTTGGCTGCTTATAACCACTTGTGAAAGATTATTACTGCTATCTGCAGTACTGTTAATTACTTTATTATAATACAACTAATGTGTGCTTTTCTTCTATATATTAATATCAGGGATGCAAACTCATCAGGTATGAAAAAGGTGACAAGGATTCGAGCCCCCCGACCCCACGGAATATCGGCTTTAAAATGAGGAATAACAGGATGTTAGCAGTCAGAACAACTAAAGCAGTTAATAAAAACAGAAACGCCAAAGAGTCACATCTAATAGAAATATATTTAAGCATTTATTTTAATTGTGTAGCAGTCAGTTTATAATTTTGGCAGCACTGTTGAGCATTTTGAAAATGTATTTTCATGCCTCTGTGCAAGGCTTAGTCTTTCTATCTGTATAGCCACTGGTGTAAAGTAACTTCAGTAAGTTCATAAACTCAAGTACTATACTTGGGTACAATTTTGAGATACTTGTACTTTATCTAAGTATTTCAATGTTTTGCTACTTTGTTCTTCTTCTCCTCTACAGTTCAGAGGTACATGGTGTACTTTTCCTCCACTACATGTATTTAATCCCTTTAGTTACTTCACAGATGTGGATGAATGATGTGAAATATAATCAAGTGTTAAATCAGACTTAAGTTCCTCCTGGAGTAAATCCACAAGCTACCCTGCAGTATACAAAGTCATTCAAACTAGCTGCACCTTTACCAGCTTTGAGAACACTTTCATGATCAATCATTATAAAACATATCATATATATTATTCTGAAATGGACCAATCTGCACAATGACTACTTTTACTGTACTTTCACTATATTTTGATGATAATACTTTTCTACTTTCACTTGAGGAACATTTTGAATGCAGTACTTTTACTGTAACAGAGTATTCCTACACTCTGGTACTTCTACTTCTACTCAAGTACAAGATCTGAGTACTTCTACTTTTACTCAAGTACAAGATCTGAGTACTTCTACTTTTACTCAAGAACAAGACCTGAGTACTTCTACTTTTACTCAAGTACAAGACCTGAGTACTTCTACTTTTACTCAAGAACAAGACCTGAGTACTTCTACTTTTACTCAAGAACAAGATCTATACTTATACCACCTCCGTTTATAGCCTATGAAAAAAACTATTAGAAAACGAATGCTAAAGCTAACGTTAGCAGATAGTGGCAATGTATGCTAGTTAGTTAGCTCAACGATAATAGTGCGACAGAAAAACTTTTCGGTGCACATCACGCTCTGCCGCTCCGACAGGGAGCTCTGCTCTGAACACCTGAACACCATGCGTGTCATGATGGCATAACAGTTTGCGGCCGCAGATTACTCCGTGTCCCAGACCCCCCCCATACCCCAAAAATATTTGTATTGCAGATCTACATGAATCACACAAACAACCTATTTTGGATTCAAAACGGAATGAATTTCGCCGAAAGGTGACAAGTTTGCATCCCTGTAATATGTTAGCTTATTCTGTATTATGCATCCGTTTTTGTTTAGCTGCTATGACACACTTGCTGTAACAAGCGTAAATGTCCCCGCTGTGGGACTAATAAAGGATTTCTGATTCTGATATGAGCCAGTTGAGGTGTTGCACAGGGTGTCGGAACTTGGACACACTTGTGTTTTTTCTTATATGTAGCTGAATGCAGTTGTAATGGTACATTCAGAGGGTGTGACGAACATTGAGACTCCTGTGACAAGCTGGTTGATGGAAAATGAGTTTATTTTAATACAATTAGTTATGAGAAACATTAATAAGACAAGATATGAGCCAGTTGAGATGTTGCAGATGGGTGTCTGAACTTGGACACAGCTTACATTGCCTCTTATATGTAGACCAATGCTGTTGTAATGGTACATTCATAGTGTGAGAAACATGACATTAAATGTAGTATTTTGTGAACTTGTGTACCTGTTTTACTTTAAGAAAGCCAGGCGATACCTGTCGGAATGGTATTTCCAGACTATGGGTATTGGATAACATCTGTCCAGTTGGAAGGAAGTGGGCTAAAATAGCATTTATTTAATCAGATAACAGATATCAAATCAATCAAATCAAATCAAGTTTTATTTATATAGCACATTTTTAAAACGATTTTTGGTCGAGCCAAAGTGCTGTACATATAATAATTACCTTACAGTAAGGACACTTTACAGAAAATACAACAGCACAGTTTGTGCAGAATATCAGTATGAGAAAAACGACACCCTCTTTCCTATGTGAACATCAACAAAGAAATTAGTGAGTTGACACGTAAACCATGGTTTGTGAACTTCAATTCATATAGAATTTTAATTTAGTGTGTTTTTTTGCGCATATGTATCCCAGTTCACAAAGGGTAAACAACACACAAGTTCCAGGCCAATCGTTACACAGAGTTTTCAACACAGAAGTGATTTAGCCAATCAGAATGCAGATCCTGCAGCACCGGAGGCAGGCTTTACTGCAGTGACAGTGAAGGGAGAGTTCTGCTTCTGAAGATAATAACTCCGTAATAACTCAATATAATGTTTTCAACCCTAAACGGCAACACTTTGTAGTTGTAGGTAGGTGTGTGTGTGAGTGTGAGAGAAGGCCTGCTCACGGAAAACTGGTGGCTGACACAGAAGGACTCCCGAATAGGTGAATTGCGGTAAAGAAATAAAAAATAGAGAAAGTGCATCTCTGTCAGCAGAGCTTCTGTCAGTCAGAGGGTTAGGTAAAGGTTGAGATAGTTATCATGTGAGGAGAATTAACTAAAATACACTTCATTTATTTTTTAAATAACTGTCATGAAGCAATGTTTGAACCAACCTTAGTCATGGGTTTGTTTTAAATACAAACGTTTACATATTCCTCACAAGCCACATGTTTAAGGATTGTTCAAGGCAATTCATTCCAGAATGTTCACTTAGTTCAAAGAAGCAACATGCATAGTAAGATAACAACTTTTTTTCACATTATTTGAAGTGAGAGGTTGTGTGTGAGAGTGCACACAATGTTATTGTTTGAGGATAACTGGCCTCTGGTCTTAATACTGGTAGGAGAGGTTAAGTACATTTCAGTCAATATCATGGTGTGTGACATTAACAAGAACTCTGACTGAGCAGAGGTCTGTGTGAGGGAGGGTGTGTCTGAGTGTGTGGGTCAATTATTGTAAATGTTTAGATGTTCATGTTCTATGTGTGAGAGAGAGTGGCACATAGAGGAAGAGAGTGAGGGAGCACACAGAAAGGAGAGAGAGAGGTGGGGGGACATATGTGTATGATGTGGCTCTTTGCAGTAACGCAGGGAAATTATTGGCTCTTAACCTCTGACTGGTGTACACCCTAGTGTCCTTCAGGGTAGGGTGGGGGAGAGAGGCGCTGTGCCCCAGCGTCCTTTCCTCAAGGAGGTGGTAGGGTGGGGGAGAGAGGCGCTGTGCCCCAGCGTCCTTTCCTCAAGGTGGGGGTAGGGTGTGTGTGATGTCCTCATCAGGGTCTTCTTCACTGTCATCACTGATGTCACTGTCTTGGTCATGGTTCTCCACGGAGTCATCAGGCCATTGAGGGGCATTTGGTCCGATTGCCAGGCTGTAGGCCGAAGAAAGATGCTGGATGTGTGTGTCCACGTCAGCAAGTCTTTTCTTTAGAAGACTAGCCAATCCATCTCTCCCTTCTTGAGTCATGTCTAGGGCAGAACATAGAGAATAGAATAGTGAAAAGGCATCTAATTTTTGTTACTAGTACACACTGTGGATGGTAAGTAGTATTTGGGTATGGTATCATGGAATTTACCACTATGTCCTCCACATGACACATGTTGCATCTGCATCCTGATCTTGTCAGCCTGACTTCTCAGATAAAGGCAGTGCTGCCTCATCTCCCTCACAATTATGGCCCTCTCCTCCACAAGTCTCCTTTTGCCCATGTAGGCATCGAAGACTTTTTTTTGGGCCAAAATGGACACCGATTCTGAAGAGAGAGGAACAGCAAGCATACCATTACCGACCAAGACATGCACCAGTAGGATAAGTGACCGGTCATAGTCTATTGACTGGGAAGCTGGTGTTATAGGTCTTGCTTAGTGCCAGCAAATAAACATATTATATAAACACAAACAAGAGAAGCTCTTACCATCACTTTGCACTTCCCATGGCCATATTAGACTGTCTGTTGTTTGCTGTTCTGCAGACAGTCTTCTCTCCACCTCTTCTTCCTGGATTTCTCCTTCAGGAGGCTGTCCGGTGTTGTACTGGCGTATTGCCGCTAAGAGTTTGGTCTTTTCCTCCCTTAACCTTTTGCGACGCAACTGCCGAATCTTATTGCTGTCTATATGACGTAAATGTAAAAAAGATTACAGAAACAATGTTCAATGGAATTTTTTAATTACATGACTGCAACTGAATAATAATAACTTACCAGTCTGTCTATAGAGGCAAGCTTTCTTTTGGCACAGCCCTAGAAATAGCTGCTCAATGGACATCTGGAGAGACCGATTGTTGCCTGATGTGTTGTCTTGGGTAAATAACAAGAAACACAGTTTGAGGACAAAGACAACATAGGTGTTAATACTATACGTTAAATAAGAATGTTATATTATCAAGTTAGGAAACAGCATACCGTTTGATGCCCAGTCTCTAACATCATTAACCCATTGTTGGACTTTGTCCTCAGGACATCCAAGCTCTTCGCAGGTGTCCTTCATTTTTTGAGTCTCACCCTCCAACATTTGGATTGTCTGTTGTAACAAAGATGTTGCAGATACAGATGCATTTTCAAGATTTTCACCCAAATTTCCATAACTTTTCATGTCTTGAAAACAGTAATTAATCATTCAAACTTTTCCAGACCTGCGCAAGCACTCAGTTTCCAACACTTTACCAGCTTGGACAATTATTTGTTTGTGACAGGTTTGCACATTAGCCTTACAAATCTAATCTTGTCATGCCTATGCTTACATGGCCAATTACCTTGACATATCTCTTGGCCAACACGACATGAAGGTTTTCCTGCTTCCGTCTGTTCCATCCCATTGCATGGACAGTCAACATGTCATTGCGAGCTGTTTTTAAAAGTAAAATTGACAAGCAGATAATATAACTTGGGTATTTGGAAATCAACTCATAAAAACTCTAGTACTGTTAAAACAGACTACATCAAAGACAAAGATAAAGTAAAGTAAGAGATGGATAATAACTTCAAGACAGAATTATGTTGGTCTAATGACAAGAGGACATACCTGATTTTGTCATGTACTTAGTTGTGATGGCACAACGTGACAGAAAGCTGTTCACCATCTCCACTTCTTCGCCGGCCGTCGAACCAGCACCCTCCAAATTTCTCCCACTCCACACAATCTAACAAATACACATATATTATATGTCAAAGATGAATTAAAAAAAGTTCTTACAATCACAATAATATAACAGTGGGCCTACCTCACACTTTGTGGAATGGGCCTTGGCATGCATGACCGAGAGAAACGGTTGCATGCTCAGCAAAGGTTGCAGTTCTGGCATTGTCTTTGCCACTTTCTCGAGGTAGGGCCAGTATTTACAAGCAATATCTGTGCAATAAAAATGCACGTTTGTAGCTTGAAACTGCGTTTGAAGGAACAAGGGGTAGGCAAATATTTCTCCTCTGAACATGTTGAGAGCTTTCAGTAGCACTCCATGTCTACATACAGCCACCTCTAGCCCCTCTTCATCAAGCCTGCTGGCTCTTCTTGCTGTCTCTCGAGCAGCTGACCACTGGCTGGTACCACATGTACCTTTTCCTGGGGTCTACAATTAGACATTTTAATGTTACACTCTCAAAACAAGTAAAGGCTAGAAAAATGATAGAAAGAAAAATGTTGTGCTTACACTTTTTACATTTGTTCTGACTTTGTCAACAAAGTCTGTGACAGCCGAGTCTTCCATGATGAACGGCCCTTTAAAAAGTGGTTCATCGATCCTAAATTCAAAAATAAATATTCAATTCATTATTATCATCATCGATAGGCTACTTCTTAAATTCAATTGACATAAAAAAAAGATGTACCTCTGTGACTGTCGGAACCGGTACTGTTTCCTATTCCCATCCACTGACACAGCCAACATTTTGGGAGTACAAGCTGGGCATGAGAAGTGTTCCTCACACGTCATTTTCTGGCACTCGTACTGGCAGGCCATATACTCCAGAAAGCTCCTTTGGAAGACATCTCCATGGATTTTTCCTGTCTGGAAGTTTGAGAAGAAAAATTGTTAATTTACACATGTCAGAATAATACGAGGAAACAGACAGGGTGTTTCTCAATGTCGAGTAAAGCTGCTTCAGAGCCACTATTTCAAGCATACTGCGTCATCGAGTGCCGCCGAAGTACTGTTCCAATCTCCAGCATACTTGGAAATCTACCGAGCCCGGCGTACTCCGTTTGGAGAAATATAGAGGCTGCACATGAGTAGACTCCGCGGTCTTAAAATCCCCACAATGCTTTGCGCACGGACCAATTTCCCCAAATCTGTGGCAGAAGATGTAAGAGGCGGGGCCTCTCATATGACGCACACCTGCACACTTGCTAGCCTGTTCCACTCTTTGTTTTCTGAATGCCAGGAAGTATTCTTGACTCGCTTCTGAAGCAAGATGCTCTGAAGACATGTGCTACCAAGCAAGCGTACTCGCGATTGAGAAACACCCGAAGACTTTCACAGTGGTTGGAGGCAAGAGGGGGCTATTAGGAGTATCCCTAACACACGATATCCTGAAAAGTGAAGGTCAGGTTAGGATTGGCAGATGCTGGAAGAGAAGGAACATTATTTCAGCTTTTGTCATATGCACCATGACTCTATACAGTACAATACAATATCCAATGTTTTCCCACAAAAGAGCACAATGTTTTTCATCATACAAAGTTGGATTATGATACGTTTGATCTTATACAGTATGTCCTACATCTACCAGTGCTAGCTTTTTAGCTCTGATTACACTAGTTAAACTACTTTCAGTAACATTGTAAGCTTTTCAATTTAGTTATTTTGACATAAACATATTTCCAATCAACATATTTCATCTACACAAAATAAAATGCATCCTTTCACAATGCCCTCTACTTATGCAATACTCAGTGAAAGTCATCTTACCCTCCCATAATGCTGTGTCCTCCGTTCCAGCATCTGTAAAAAGGCCTGTCTGGACAAACCTGGTGCCACAGTCTTCAGGTCCTCAAAAGATTTGAAGACATCCGTGGAATATAACGTGTCTCCGTTCACAGAAGCTGGCCAGTAACCGCTTCTAATGAGGTCTCCCCAATCAGGTGTCCATTCGTAATGGCATGTGTTGCACACCCTCTTGGGGAGATGCAAATCATAACGCCCTAATAACAAACACAGTTTAGTCAAAACAATCGCATTCATTACCTGTATTAGGGTGACAAAAAGAACACTTAAAATCATACCATTAATGCAGACGAAAATGACAGGCCTGCCAATAGACTCTGTAACACCTTCAGGGTTACACAAGTGTGAAGGCCTACCAGTGGGCAGAAGACGATCTGTGAAGAGAGGTTAAAAATATGTCTTAAACTGCCAGCACATTAGGAAAGTTATAAAATAACCACTTGGGCTAAATTGTGTTAAGTGAAATACCTTGGTGTCTCAAAGTGAACATGTCATTTGTCTTAACTAGTGACATTGTTGGGGGAATGCATTTGAAATATCCTTCATTGAAGGACTCTCTGTTATGAAGGGTGTGTATGCTGTGTTTAGAAATGTCACAGTCATGACACAACCATTCATGGGGCATGCATTCTCTGCAGCGAAGGACCGCAGGAGCGGAGCAATGTGAGCATCTCCTTTCTGGTACCATTGTTGAAGACAGCAAGCTGTCCAAGTGATGGGACCTTGCCTTTTGCCACTCCAATTGGGCAGCACTTTGGCGCAGGCACCATGAGGAAGAGGTTGATGGTTGATCAACCAAAAGCTGCTGCAATTGCTGAATCTCATCTTCTGGAAACAAACAAAAAAGAAAATGTTCAGCATCACAACAGCGTAATCATATTGCATCACGTATTCGTTTGATGTTATGTTGACACATTTCCTAACTTTCAATGACAGTAAATGTCATCCTACCAAAAAGCTGAGGGGGTACTGCAGAGGTTGCTCCAGCTGGTTCCACAGTCACCGGACTGTCAATGGCAACAGTTCTGACTGAAAAATAATAATTATAATAATAGATATATTGATAACAGATAATAATTACAGAGAACAGGAGGCAATCACAGGCAAATGTTATGCATTAAAAGAGTTCTAACAGTTCTAACCAACTCTAACTATTTATTACAATGGCCTATTTTTATACGTACAACGGAATAACAGATATTTCTTCAATACCTCTCTAAGCTGAAACATGCTGTACCAATCATGTTGTGAACAATCACAACAAAAACGACATATGTTAATCATGAATACCTGTATACATGCACAAACCTTTAGTACGTTGGCTGGTTGCCCCACTTCTGCTCCTCCTTTTTAGAGGACCCCCCTGAGCATCTTTGCCTACCCAGCTGATTCTGTTCCTGCTAGATGCTGCTCTGGCCCTGTCTTCTTTCTCCTTCAATAAAGTAGTCATGCATTATCACAACAAGCTGCTTTTCATTCCCAGTCTATTCCTATTCACTTTGAATTACAAGCACATAATCAATCAACCTAATCAGTACATCGGGCACAAAACCAATACCATTGAAATTAAACAATTTACCTTCTGTTGTTTACAAAGTAAATCGGCAAGGAAAATGGCGTCTTCTAGCTGTTCCTCGCCTTGTGTAGCAGCCATTTCAGGAACTAGAAAACACACAGGTGTGTGTGTGTGTGTGTGTGTGTGTGTGTGTGTGACAAAAGAGAAAGTGGTAAAGAGACAGAGATGTAAGGATGGGGAGAAGACAGGAAGAAATGTAGGGAATATAGCTCTGAGGAGGGAGACCAGAAGAAATAGAAAAAGGCTCTTAAAAGTGCTGTTTGATCTTGCTTTGGTTTGGAATCTGTTGAAGGAAAAAAATACAGTTAACACTTTTGAATGCATGACAATTTACAATCTCACATATCATGAACAAGCTTTAACATTGGGGGTAATTTAGGAGTTAAAGCACTAACCAATCAGGGGCGGACTGGAACAAGGACAGCTCTGAACGTTTGGTCCTAAATAGGACCACAACAATCAGCGTGCAGTAACAGTCTGTAGACTGTTGTCATGACATTTCTTCACAATACTATTAGTTGCCACTGTATGCAAGTATGACAGCCACAATAGGCATTTGTCCAAGCTTTGTATATACAGTGCCAAAAGTATTTAACTCAACATTTTCTTGCATTAACTTTTTTTCCAACACAGCATTTACATTGTTAGCAGTTATGTTTTGGTGTACTTCTAAAGGTAATTAGTTATTTGCTCACTGTCAATTTATTGCCATTTATTTCAGATATATTTATTTATTTCAATTTAACAGCTAACCTTAGAGTGGCGTTAAGTTGGCGTGACGTTAAACCTGCGACCCTGCTGTAGGCTACTCGTCTGTAGCATAACGTTAGCATTTTGCTTCTGGCCATTAGATTTATGATTCGAAAATGATAAAAGTAGGGTAGAGATGTGGAGATTATCCGGCTGAACAAAACGTGCATTTATCAACAGGTTCGTTTTCCACAGATCTTATTTCGAGCTATTTTCCAAAATCCTATGGAGAAATCCCATTGACTCTGAGACGAGGGAACCAATAGTTGTAAAATGCTAACTCACTTCTGGGTTGTAGGACTCATCACCGCACTATATCTCCGGTCAAGTACAGCTAATATGTGTTTAGCTAGCTCGTGCTTAAAAAAAATATGTAACTACAACTGATTTACTTGCAATAAACATTACAAATATTGGAGGCATGCGGTGCTGCACATTACCTGCTTGGCGAAGTCAGACAGAGAGGAAGTTGTAGCCGATGTCCGGTGCGTTCATGGTCATGGATAGTAATCAGTGGCATGGTGTTCACTTACTACGCGATCGCACAACGTAACGTACAGTAATTCCACAACCACAAAAATTGATTAACATCGATTTAGCTGGGGCAACACAAATAAATAAATGAATGAATCTACTGGTTTCATAATTTGAACCAAAAGTGGTGCATTTTGCACCTAGTTTTTTATTTATCTTTATTTATTTTCTTATTATGTCCTATTTATATTATGTTGCACTGTTGGAGGAGCTCAGGATCTAAGATTTGAAATGCCAAAATTACACTGTAGCTAGCATCTGATAACAAAAACCCTTGAACTTTGAACCTTAGTGGTGTTTATTTTTCACGGAGTTCAGTTGCTAAGCGATCATACAACGTCACGTCCGGTATTTCCACAACACAAATGGATTAACATCGATTTAATACATTAATGTAGCCTTTGTTTCTGCTAAAAGAGGTGTCGACCAGCTAGGGCCACAAGAAAATCGGCGAAATCGAGTGTGACGATTAAAAAATAAATTAAAAACATCTCATTTTGACACTAAAAACCGACCAATAGTCTTGGTAGAGCATTTGCTTGGCACTTCCGGGTATTTCTCCGCTGGTTGGGCCATGTTAACAATACCGTGTAACTGTCACGTTTGAAGGGACGAAACCGTGACATATTCACGTCTCCCAGCGTGGTAGATCGTCACATGTTCACGTCTTGCCGTGATACCGGGTTGCATCTGTCTCAAGCTTAAGTCAAGTCTCAAGTCATGAATACCAAGTCAAAGTCAAGTCAAGTCTTTCATCAATGTTAGTCAAGCAAGTCTCAAGTCCAAAGATATGCGACTCGAGTCTGACTCGAGTCAAGTCATGTGACTCGAGTCCCCACCTCTGGTGTTTCCTGCCTCTTCTTGCACTGTTTAACATTTATTATCCGTTATGTTTGTTTATTTTTTAATCGTGCAAAACAATAAAATATAAAAACAACAAAATAAGTAATAATGAAGTGATGACAGTTCTGGTTTGCCTCTTACAATGTGCTTTGGAAATCCTTTGTTTTATAGAGTCATAGCACTGAAGCTGATATTTCTTCATTTTGTGTAAAATGCAGATTGATAATATCTGCTGCTGCTCTACTTTATGGAAGTCATTTATTTAACTCATATTTCTAATAAAGGTTCAGACTGACAGCAGATCAGTTTAAAACCGAGGGCGGCAGAACGTTTTATTAGTTTAATTTGTTTAGAGGAATGATGAAATATCTTTCCCTCCAGCGACAGCAGAGGATCGGCTCTGTGTGATTTTAAAGAGTTATTACGTCATCTGTTCCTCGGGACCTGATTGGCTTACTCCTTTAAACGCAGTGCAAAAGCTCCACATAACATTTGTCTTTGTCTTCTTGATAAACATTGTTTGTGTTATAAATAACCCAAACAACCATTTGTGAAAGATGCGTTCATGAGCAAATCAAAACAAAAAAAACCCCGATGGGTAAAAGCGTACAGATCAAGTTTGGGACTTTCATTTCTGAAAGTCTACAAACAGAGAGCCTCGAGCAAACAACCTCCTGCTGTTCGTTTTCACACACACACACACACACACACACACACACACACACACACACACACACACACACACACACACAACAGAACAGCGTGAGGTCATTAAACTCATCGTAACTCACCAGGGAACGAGCGGAACATCTTTTGATGTGAGCAGAAGCGCACAAATACTTCTTACTTACTGTGTGTGTGTGTGTGTGTGTGTGTGTGTGTGTGTGTGTGTGTGTGTGTGTGTGTGTGTGTGTGTGGTGTGTGTGTGTGTGTGTGTGTGTGTGTGTGTGTGTGTGTGTGTGTGTGTGTGTGTGTGTGTGTGTGTGTGTGTGTGTGTGTGTGTGTGTGTGTGTGTGTGTGTGTGTGTGTGTGTGTGTGTGTGTGTGGTTGGAGCCAGCATGCTGTCCACAGTTCACAAACACATCTGTACCTCCAGCTGCTGTACAGTTTCTCAGTGTTTTAATGAAAACGTTACCCTCCACGAGATAAAGACTAACGCTCCGGGTTCTTCGGGATGTTTCTTTTCTTGCCCCACATTTGAAGTTTTTCTAGATACTATAATGTAATTGGTTAGGATGAAAAAATATTCCTTCTTTTATTATCTAACAGCGAGATATGAAGTCAGACGTTTCCGTTTCTGCTGCCTGTAGGGTGAGGTTTCAGAGACTGAACAGTGAGCAGCTCAACCGTAAGCTCAATGCTAACATTAGCATGCAAACTAGCTGGTTTGAAACATTAAAGCATTGAAAGAGGCTGAAAATACTATGAACCTGAAAAACAGATACTGAGAAGACAAGTATTTTCTCCTGCATGATTTATTACGATATGAATATGGTGTTCTTGTTTGGAGACCCTGCTCTCTGTCTGAAAGGTTTTACTCTCTGTGGGAACAAGTCTCTGAGGATTGCCGCAGCTCGAAGCTAATTACAGGCAGCAGGGAGAAAAGGAGGAAAAAAGCCTCATTTGTTTAAGCCTCACTACCGAAGGACCTTCCTCCGCCCCGGATAACCCTCCTCATCCCTCTGGTGATTAAAGTGAACCCTCACAGAGTGTGTGTCTTCTGCAGCTGCTAAACCTGCACAAATAAGACAAAAGAAACCAAGGCAGGAGAGGCAAGTCCACAGCGCCTCTCTGTGCTCTGATATTCACATGTATTCAAACGAGGTAAT